TCTACCGCCGGAGATATCGGCCCAATCCCAAACCACTCCCTCGACGGAGTGAACTCCGTCTTTAGCCACACTCGCAGCTCAACGAGGCTCCCTCCTGTCAGATGGAGGGACTAAATACAGCGGCAAGCTTTGGGACAAACTCCCCTCTCTCCGGCAGAAACAGGAAATGCCATAACTTTATCGAACAGTTTCAAATCAGCATCTCTTAGACAAAAAATTCAAAAAACTCTAAACATCTTTAATTGTGTTACTTTTTTGTAAAGCTCTTTTAGTTTTAAACTGATGTTTATAGGCCTCTTGGTTTCTGCAACAGTCTGTAAATATACACAACTTTATAATAAAATGCACACATTTACCTTTTTCTAGACTAAACACAGGTATGATCCCAGTGGTGTAACAAGGTTGTGATTGGCCCCGGTGCAAATATTGTTTTGGGTGGAGGGAGAGTCCTCTCGTGTCAGACAGGCTGACACCTACAGCTCAGTGAGGTAAAGGACTCTGAATGTTTAGATAGTTCACTTTAGTTTAAGTAGTGGGTCTCAAACGGTTTGGTAATCATTTATGTAAATAAGTATTTCCAAGGCACACCTTTATATGATCATTATAGTTATACAAAATAAGAGAATAACAGGTATGAAATAATTCCAACTCATACTATAGGACAGTGACACAAAAATACAGTTTAAAAAGGAGTCATTTGTAAAATATGCATAAAGAAAAATTAAATCTATTTACAGTTCTGTTTCACATGGGTGTGGTTGAGAGATATATTTAGTCCCTAATTTTGCTCTCAAAGTGCAGCAGATTGATGCATTTAACTTCAACATTTAAAAAAAAAATCTTCCCGGGGGAGCATTCCCCCGGACCCCCCTAGAGAAGGTGAGTCCCATCACCCACCCACACCCCCTGTCAAATCGTCCCACCCACATTGAGGATGCTTCCTACGCCCATGCATATGTGTATGTGACTCAGGATAAATCTAATGCAGCAAACAAGTCAGCCGTGTTCCACTGAGAGCTATACAGTGACTGTCACACTAGGAAATCAATGTCTAGTACAAGGACACATATTTGTTGTAGTATCAACAAGCTGCACAATCTTTACAGTACACAGTAACTAATAAACATCTTAAAGTCTCCTGTTAATAAAAACATATGGGGATAATGAGACAGCAGAACCACGCTGCCACCCTGTGGCTTCATTCAGCTGGTGGAATCATTTTCAATGCTTTTATTGTCATTTGTGCATAGCTACGGTGTAGATATGACAATCAAAATCTTAGGTCACAGGTCATGAAGCACTGCTGCTGTTGTTGGCACATGTCTTGTGGTTATATTTCAAAATCAAAATCATGAATTTTTTGTACATTTTAAATGCTATCGGTTACATACCTTATAATAAAAAAAGTTAACAGAGAAATTATCAAACCAGCTTACAGACTTAGATAAAATATTTGTCGAGGGGAATAACGTGAATTTAAAGAACTTAAATAACTCACACTGAAGGAGTGGCTTTGAAATCTGAGTCATTCACTTTCTAACTTTATTCATCATCCTCTTAAGCAGGGGGGGCCCCCCCAACTGTGTCTCAGGGCATCTAAATATATCTATACATATAAACATCTATATTGATTTCTGACTTTTCTACATCCAACTCACAGGTTTGTCATTACTTTGAGAACAAAGATTATTAATTTAACCCTTTTAGAAGGGAAGATATGGTCATTTGTTCAGGGAATGTCATTTTCGAGCCTGAGACCTGAAAAACAGGCTCAGGGTTGAACAAGCTTAGGAATCAAATCCTGCACACATCACAACACAAAATTGGCGTTTGTGTGTGGAAAGGTTATTATAATGGCATGATGTTTTTTTAACTGAAAGTGTATTTATCACAAAATTGAGATTTCGGTTACTACACCAAAACAAAGAATTCTCTCCAGCACTCAGTAAGCTAGAGCAGAGTAAAATGGTACGTGTTGGTTCATCACAGCGACTCCTTCCATAGTACCAGTACTCATTTAAAAAGGTCCCATGTCATGGCCATTTCTACTGATCATAATTCCATTGTTGAGGTCTACTAGAATACATTTATATTGTGCAATTTTCCAAACTCACATTGGTTTCTCACACAGCATCTCTGTGAAGTATGTGTATTCACCGGTATTCACTCTGTCCTAAGCGGCTTGTTGGAGCTCCGGCCCCCCCCCCTCCCTGGTTTTATGTGCCCTCCCATGAAAATCATATGTCCTCTCTGTAGTTTTGTTCTGGCGCCGGATCTGGCTTTAAGTCATGTATCATTATACATACTGCCCTCCTCATCTATGTATCTCCTTTATATAAACGCGTTCATCATTTATTCATTCTTTCCACTTTCTAGATTTCTTTCCAAAGCTTTCAGCTGACGGGGGCTGTTTGAACAGGAGACGCTTAACAGACAGCTGCACCATATTTGTCAGATATTGTGTTTACACATTGTTCTGCTGGTGGACAAAAATATATTCATGCAGATTCAATAATTGAATTGAATTTCCTCCAAATACATATACTACAATTTAAAAAGTAATTGGTTTATACTTGATTCTAAGATCAAAGAGTCTGCCATGTAAATATTTGTATAAATATATTGACAGATTTGTATAAATAAACACCAACACTAGGTGTCTATGCATATAAATGAAAAATGCAGGGCAAGGTATTTGTTGTTGTTGTTGTTGTTTTATTCTAGCCAAAGCACTGCTAACACTGTTGTACAGTCGCTTGAGTCGCTGTATATAAAATCACTCTGCTGAGGTCACTGACTGAGTGGCCAGCTTCTTTGCTCTGCGCGCTGCTCCAGACTTCCTCTTAGCTTTAGGCTTCTGGTTGGGACAATGAGACAGATTTTTGCTTCCGCTCTTGGCATTGGGTCGATTACTGGAGGGACAAAACACAGACCGAAACAAAAACAAGTTAAGACATGCAAATATTGAGTGTTAATATGAGCAAGCTGGAGTTCAAACACTGAGCAGGGACAGTTCTGAGGACTCACCTCCTGGTCCTCTGAGAGTCCTGGACAGAGCAGGCTTTGCGTTTGTGCTTCAGGCTGCCGCAGTTGAAGCAGCCCTCCATCCCCTCACTCAGTCCACACGGGTGGTCCGGCAGGGCGCAGCGGCCACAGGGCGCACAGTGTCTCCAGGCTGAAAATTAAAGAATTTGAATAAAGACAAAATATTAAAAAAACAAAAGCCAGAGGAGGGTTAAGTAGTTTAATGTACACTTCTGACGTGATTGTGTATATATTGTGCAATAAGTTAAAAATAACAAAATCAGAACAAAACAAAGACTCAATTTTATTATTGGCTGCTTTCTGAGTTTGACCATTTTAATACTGTATCAAAAATCTTTAATCTCACCTCTGTTATCTAGCTTTTACCACACTACATTTTACAATGTTACAATTTATTTGTATAAATGCTGCTGCTGCTTCTTTTCTACCAGAATGTGTACTTTTGTAAATTGTAATATATTTTATCTTTTATTTTGACTATTATGTGCATGCCATTTATCAAATAGTGCTTTATTTTTTTGTCTCCAACTTTACTTTGGCTGTAACAATGTAAATGTCCCCTCAGTGGGACGAATAAAGGAATTATGAGTGATTGACTTACATGGTTTCACACACTTCTCACACCTTGAGCAATGCTTCCATTCTCGGCCGTCCTGGAGACAAAGAGTGAAAGTAAGAACTTGTGAGGAAAATAAATGATGAGAAAATATGATATGTGGTGGTGGTTTTATACCTTGGACGGGCAGACGTTGCATTTAGCACAGTGCTTGTTGAGGGACAAGACGAATCTCTGACACACAGAGCAAAATCTAACATGAGGACGAGAAGAGGAGAACACACATGACCTTTAACACTCATAAAATAACTGCATGGCTGGGGGTTTTCTACTTCTAATCTGGAATGTATACTCTGTAATCTCATCATCATACTTTAACTTCCTTATTCATTTAACTTAAGTTCTTGTAATTTGCTTGTGCCAGATCAGCCTTTAACACTGCTGCTGAGCTTAAGTTAAATACATTCAAGTACTGTATGAGAAGGATCCCTAAACTCAGTTATTATACAATTGTAAACCAATAGGGGCATTTTACAGAAAAACTGAATATACTATCATAATAATTACTTTTGGCATATTTGCATGCAAGGAATGTTTCATTTGTTGGTCAACACATGCATTGATACAGCTGTGATGAGATTACATCAGTCAAATTATTGTAAACTACAGCGGACAGTAAATATGTCGGTACCTGTAGCCTTCGTCCTTGGGCAGACCGATGTCTTTTGGTGAAATGTTGGTGAAGATCCTCACCGGAGATTGCTTCCTGCCTGTTTTCCCATGTTTATACAGAGGATGGTTGTCATAGTCCACCTAGAAACACATCAAATATTTACATTATTGTTTGAGGAACACAAGAAATAGGTAGCACAGGGAGTGTTTCATCTAAAGGAAGCATTGCATATACCGTAATTTTCGGACTATAAGGCGCACCTGAATATAGGCCGCAGCAGCTAAATTGAATGATGTGTACATATATAAGCCGCACTGGACTATAAGCCGCAGGTGTTTTAATGTTTAATTACCATATGTAAGGGTTCGTGCACAGAGGGGATCGTCGGGAAAGAGATGGCTGTTTGAGGAAGCTCCCATTTATTAACATTTCAACAAACAAGTTAAATATTTGCATAATGTATTCAGGTGTTAGCATTTAGTGCAATAGTAGCTACAGAACATGTACTGTGCTGTGTAAACTGTACTGTATCACATAGCGTTTCAGACACACAAACTTTTCAACTTTCAAACTTAAACGGTGCGCTCCCAGCGCACGTACCGGCAGTGATCTACAGCAGTGGTTTTCAACCAGTGGTACGGGGACAAACTGTCTCGCTCTCGTAATGTCTGTCTGTCTTGCTCTCGTTCTGTCTCTCGTACCACTCTCGGTTCCACTTTTACTTTTGCGCGCTACCTGTCTCACTCTTTTCCGGCCTCCAGCTTTTCCTGCGAAGGAGGAGGAACACCAACAACTCTCTCGTAATGGTTAAAAACCGACCTTTTTACCCCTACGTTATAAATACATTTATGGTACCAACATAGACGATTAATGACACCGCGAAGGGTAAAGAAGACTAATAATTAATAAACCCGTAACTGTAAACGGTGCATGTTCGGATGGAGAACTTGTCCCCGAACCGAACAATACTTCATCTGAACGTTGAAACTGTTGGAAATTCCGAACAAACCTTGATATGCTGTTGATCCTTTCTGTGTGGTCCATTATATAGACCAATACCAACTGAGTTAATTTCTAACGAAAGACGTTGTTTATACTAACTGGCGGAGGCTATTAGGCGAATGAAGAATCCTAATTTGTCGTCACAAGACAGGTTTGTGTTGTGCGGAGTGTGGGTTTGGTTTTCTGTCCAGGGAGACAGCTATCTGGTGAGCCAACGTACTGTAGAGGGGAGTAGAACTATAAGCGCCAATAAGTTTATTACTACTACTCGGTATAGACCGCTAGTATCGAGTGTTCAAAATAGTGGAGTAAATGGTTGTAACGGTTGGACTAAAAAAGAGGTCGAGGATAGGAGCATTGGTATGGACCTTGGCTACAAGATATAGTCGGAAGTTAAACTTTACGAGAAGCGTCGTTTTAAGATTGAATTGAGCGAACAAAAAGACGCAAAGGTACAGAGCGAGACTGGTGAAACAGACGTGAAAGACGAGGTGTGGAAGGAGCAAGAATTTAGTCTTATGTCGAGAAGTGAAGAGGTGGATATCGAGTGATACATAAGACAGGATAAAAATAGTATGAAAAATGACATGAGTCAAAAGAGGTGTGATGGTAATATAAAACCCAATCTTTAGGCAGAAATAAAAAAACCAAACCATGTTACAGAAAATTTTATGCAAAAAATTTTATCGAAGAGAGAAGGGTAATAAGAAGAAGAGAAACGAGAAGTCGTACGTGTAAAATATGTTCGTTTAAGAGCAGACACATTGGCTGGAACCAATATTTTGGCTGAGACGCTAAGCCTACGTGTAAGCGTGAACTACAATGAGCAGAAGTGCTGCAGCGTGTTCGACAGATTTGTGATGTGGCATCACAGATTTGGTACTGAAGAGTCAACGCGAGAGCAGACCAAGACAAGTGTAGGAATTCCACGACTCTTTTTCAGAAAGAGGACGTACTCTAATTCCCTGACATACACTGGTAAGGGTTTTGAGTATAGTTGAGTAGTTTGACGATTATATTAGTTATATGGGTCACCGGAGAGTGTACAGGTCCAAGTGAAATCTCCCAAGCAGTTTCAAAAAACGTCAAATCCTGCTACGCTCCCTGCCCGACCGGGCCAGGTGACGACCTGCGGCGGTGCCCGTGCATGGGGCGGGGAGGACGTGCACGTGGGACACCCTCGGACGTCGCACTCGACGCCCCCCCGGCGTCGGTGAGACGCGATTGGGACAGGATGGTTGTATAATTACGAAGGGAGAAGGGACGGTAGAGAAAGTTTTACTGGTTGGCGATGGTATAAAAGGTGGAGAAAGACTGGCGAGGAGGAAAGTTGTGACAGATCCGTAAGAGACACAAAATCGAAGTTGACAATTTTGTCATTTTGGGCAAGAAGTGGCCAGAAATGTTTAGACACTTTGTGGTGTACAGGATAAGACTGGTGGCTACTGTTCGTAAGAATGAGGTTTGAGGAAGAGTGTTGGTGAAAGAGTCGTGGTGAATTGTTGTTGTTTTTGCGTCTTAGTCAATGGGGTCAAATGACTAGACAATTCGTACGTAATGCCGTATAGAAGTCGTATATTGGGTGTGACAAGTTGTGTATGGTCCAAAAACGAAGCAGTTTTTAGGAAGAAGATGACCGCCTTGTTAGGAATGCGGGGAGGTCCAGACAGTTTTTTGAGAGTGATATGAGGAGGATTGAGTCTGGAGTGCAGGGAAGTAGACCATAAGAATGCGGTAGAAATTGTATGGTTGCAAAAGGAATGACGGCACTAAGACACGACACAGAGACGACAGTCGATTGTTCTTGGGGGGACACGGCCACACAAGGTAACTCATGCTCGACGTCGGACGATGTCGTGGTAAATAGACCTTGAACCTAGTGGTTGTAGGGCGAGCGAGCGCAATTCAGCGTGCTCAAATTGTGAACGAGGAACACGCGGACGACGAAGTGGTCGTGTCGGGTTGTCTGTTTCTTTTCAGTTAGAACTTAATACCTACGCATGGTGGTAAGAAGAAGGTATGTAGCAAAGTCTAGCGAGGTCAAGGATGGTCGGTCCTAGCGGCAAGCAGGTTGTGGTACGCAAGTTGGTGGGAAGGAAAGCTGACCTTGTGCCGATGTCAGGCTTGGTGGGAAGAAAAAATCTATAACTGTGACATGGAGTCCTGACCTAGTTATTCCGAGGGAAGGAGAACAAATCCGAAGGTGCCACGTCAGGAAGTCCGGAAAGGGAGTGCTCTCGCTCCCCCCCGTTCGAACACTTATCCGACCGGCGCTGGGAGGCAAGCCCACCGGACCGACTGCGGGAGACACGGTGGTCAAAGAGAGAGAGAGAGTTTGGACCTCTTCGACGTTCGAGCCCAGTCAAAGTGACACCTCAGACTACAAAATAGGATAAAGTATGAAAAAGGTGCTAATAGACAGATAAACTCGCATTATTAATCTTGTGAGATGACTTACAAGGATCACGTCTGCCGTCGCCACGACTGTAGGGTACTACACCTGAGAAGGGTATAAAGAAACTCTGGAGCGTAGAACCCTTTTCAAAAACAGAGGGGAAGGTGAAGGGTGGTAACGACCGTAATGGTTCCCACTAAGGGAAAAGTAAACTACTACATTACTTTTGTAATAACTAGTTTTTGTCGAAATCTTAACAAGTGACCAAGTAATTAGTACTTCCTTTAACCAAGAACACAAAAACCCTTGGAAAAAGTAAATGGTAATTTCTACTGTTCTTGTACTAAAACCTGTTGGCAAGTGTCGTCCCCCTAAACTCCTCTTTTTGATTCCCAACCGGTTGGTTTAATTTGGGGAAAAAAAAAAATTCAAAGGGGTTGGTCCGTGGTTGGAAAAAGGGAAAAAAACTGTTCGTTTTGTATTAAATTTTGGGTACAAAAATTTGTATTTAACCTTTTGGGTAAGGTAATAATATTATTTATAATAACGTTCACAAAAAAATGAATGGACACTGCTTTTTTCCAATTGTTTTTTCCAACAAAAAAACGAACACTTCAAACCTTAACGACGTCTTCCCCGGACCAAGGCCTCCCAAAATTTCCTATTTTCATACATAAAAGTTTCTTCGATCGTACAACTAACTATTAACAGTTTCCTACCCTTCCTTTTGAAAAGAAAATTGGGTTCATTTTTATTGATTTTCATTCCAATTAGTAACGAGGTAATAATAGTATAGGTTTAATTCTCCAGAAGGAAAGAACCGAATCCCCGTGGCAGGTCACAAAGGTTTTTTTGGACCGTCCTCTTCCTTTTTGAAAACGCGGTTACAATTTTCCACGTTGTTGAAAGGGTTTACCTTGTTTTTTTTTTTTTTGAAATTTACTCCAAACTTCTTGTAAGAAACCCTTTTGGTTGGTACGTTACCGTTAACCAGTTACCTGTAAAAAAAAAAAAACTTGTACGTTACAGGTATTATTTAAGGTAAGGAGCAATTTACCGCTGCAAAAACCAACTAATAACCTTTACCACAAAACCTCCGGAGTCAATGGAATCCAGACATAATAAGTGACTCCACAATTTACAGTAAATCGCAGAGAAATTCAGTTGTCACTAAAAAGACAATTACCTTTATTTCATTGAATGGCATAAAAGCCTATTATTCGGCGCGGAAAAAAGGGGTAAAAAGCTGCGACGCCGAATATATTGCCACCGCCGATTAGATACCTAAAATGTCGATTGCCGGTAATCCCCTGGAGGATTTGAGATACCCTAAAATGTCCAATGTCACGTGGTGGAAGGGTAAGACTTTGAGATACCCGAGATACCGGCCAGGCGCGGGGGGGTGGAAATTCGCNAGTAAAGGGATCGTCTCCAGCAAGATCACCAAGCTGTTCATCCTCATCATCACTGTCCCTGGATTCCTTGACGGTTCTGGCCACTTGGCTCGAACCTGTATGGCTGAATTCCCCCGTCCAATCTCTCCACATTGCTCAAAACTTCTTCCTCGGCTGACGAGTCCGAACTCAAATACTCCGCCATGTTTTCGTCGAATGAGCTGTCGTGTTTACAAAGTGAACGCATAGATGACGTCGCAACCTAGTTTTTCGGATCATGTGACTACTGAAAATGGCCAAAATAGCAGCTGCCTGACGGAATATACAGGTTTTGATAAAAAGAGCTATAAAATATTACTTTACCGGGGAATATCGCTGATTTC